ACCCAGGCTCATGCCAGGAGAGCAGGGCAGGACCAGGCAGCCTGGCATGGGGACTGTTTTCGGGTGCTGAGCTGCAGCACACGGTCAAGTGAGATCATTCCCATCACCAGGGCACAGAGTTTCCTTCAGAGCTGTGCACTGGGATCGGGGCCTGGCTGCCTTGGTTGGGGTCTGTTGCAGCAGCAGGAGTCATCGGAGCTTGGCAATCTTGACCCATCTTACTTTAGAATTCATGCTTCTTTTGAGCCCGAATCTGCCCGAGTGCTGTTTTTTTCTTGCTTTTTATATTCTTTTCTTGTGAAGGTGCATCAGCAACCTGGTTACTGAACTGACCTGCTTGCCAGTGAGTGACCTGATTAAGTAAAGGATGCTTCCATACTCCTGCCATCTACAAGATTTCCTCCCCAGGACCCCTGCTCCAGCCAGATGACCCTGTGGAGCTCAGGCTCTGTTCCCCAGGGAGGAAGCCCCTCACTGTCAGGGAGGCAGCACCATGGCCAAGGCCCCCTGTACTGAGCAGCCTGCCTATCCTGTGTGCTTTGGGCTGCTCTGTTGTTTATTTATTGCTGTAATAAATTAGAGATGAACCGTGGCCTCTGTGGCTCTCGTTTGTATGTGGTCTTTATTAATGAATTTCAAGTGTTTTCTGCTGCAAGGGGCAGGTTTGGGTGGCAGAATTGTGTATTTAACACTCAGCACTTCATCAAGGTTTCCTCCTTGCTCAAGAGGCACTGGAAGCAAAGGGAAGAGCAGTGAGTCAGCCACTTACCTTTCTTACCTTCATCTCCTTTTGGTTTGATCAGTAGAAGAAAACAAGATGGTGATTTTAGTTCACTTCTGGCTTTCAAGCTTCCAGATGACCTCAACCCATCAAGGCATGCTTTCCCTTTAACCATTAATTACAGCAGCGTGCCCAGAACTGTCACACAATCATTTAGTGAAATTAAAGCACTTGTAATGTCTTTTCCATACACAATGCATCCCAAAGCCATGAATGGATTGAGCCATTTGGCTCATTCCTTCTACTTCAGCATCAATTCGTGGCGTCAGCCCAAGAACCCGCATGTGGGGAGGGACATGGACGCATGTGGTGGCATGTGCTGGTGGGTGCACAAGAGCTGTGGGATGCAGGAGCTCAAGCCGATCCAAGCGGCACGGCACGGCACAGCATGGCACGGCACGCACCCACCCCAACATAGACCCTGCACTGCACAAGCGCGGACATCGGAGACGAGAGCTTTTGCTCATTTTTGTCTTTAATGTATCACAATGAGCAGGAAACATACGTGATGAAATATTTCCAAAGGAGTATATTCAATTACCATCTACAGTCAACTCAACTATGACAACAAAGTCTTTTGTGACAAATTCTGTAAAGTTGTGAAAGTAAGTCCCACGTGGTTTTCTGTTTATCTCCATGTATTTTGGTACAGTTTGAGATCAGCATTGTTACAGTAACAAAAAAAAGCTAACAAGACTACATTATAGAAAAACACCAAGAACATCATTTTTGGTTTCACTTGCTCTATTTTTTGTACATTGCAAAGGCTGTTTGTATCCCTCTTTACCACATTAATGCTTTCTGTTCTACCCAACCTCACCCTCCCCCCCAAATAAAAGTGAAAAAAATAGTCAAAGCTTTGTGTTTCACAGTGGGCAGTATCTAAGCGCTGACAAACCAACCAACCAACCAAACCATCCATCCAACCAACCAACCCAACTTCTGCTTCTATTTGAAAGTTTAGGTTTTCTTTTTAAAGCAAAATACATTTCCACGGACAGCATGTGTGCCGGCTTATGTCAACGCCTGCCCCAGGCATGGGCAGCCCCAACACACCCTACTCTTGATTCTCAATTTTATGAAACTTTGGCCATTTTCACCACTTAGGAAAGCTTTTTACTCAGAATAAACCAGAAACCTGTTCAATGGCAAGTTTAGAATATTTTCCTTGTGCCCATCCCAGCCCTGCTCTGACACAGGTTGGAAAGGCCATGTGTGGGCTCTGGGGTGGCACAGGGGCTCCCAAGGCAGGGTGGTTGGGCTTGTGCTAGGCCACGGTGCTAGGGCTGTCCCAGCAGGGCCGGGGGTCCCCACCTTAGGCCAGGATGGCCAGCAGGGCTGGGGGATGGGTCCTAGCACTGCACGAGGAGGCTACCTCGCACTGAGTGTCTCTAGAAACAGTTGAAAATACAAAGAAATCAATTTATAAAACCTTTCAGTGGTGGGAAGGAGGAGGGGGGAGAAGAGAGAAGAAATTGCACTATGACCAAACAATATAATTAAAAAAGAAAAAAAAAAAGAAACAGAATGAGACAAAACGAAAGGATTTCCAAAGAGACCCTGTGGGATTGGACAGATAAAGCTAGTGTTAAATTGTTAACTTGTATCACACAGAATCAAAAGAAAAAACAAACAAAAAATCTCTATATGATACAGATAGAGTAACATACAACAGTTAAATGGCAAAAAAAAAAAATATAGATTTCATAGAATTACAAACAAGATAAAATAATGGAAAACAGAAACTGTACAACTTTAGAATTTAAAAACTGTTCATCTGAAACACAGGGAGAAATACAAGAACTTTTGTTAAAGGAAACAGTTTGTTAAAACAGCAAACTCTTTTTGTGTACTTGTTTCCGTTTTTGACACCTTATGCTACAATTGGGTTGTGGTAGGAGTATTAGATGGTACTCTCTTTAGTACTGTCTACTTAAAAAACAATTAAAAAAGGAATTTGCACTGTGCATTAGCCTAGTTAAAAATATGTACAACAGTTCAGGATGTAGTCATTCATTGAACTAAAACCAGAACTCCATGAAAATAAGTGTCCTGCTAGAAAATGAACCCCATGTTCATCTCTCTAATGCTCCAGTCTCTCGCAGGGTTGACGAGCGGCTTCAGCACAGGGAGGAGAAGCCAGAGGCGACGGGAAGAACCTGCGTTCACGTCTTCGAAGTTCCTTTTTGAAGCAGGAGGATGATGAAGATGATGGGAAGAAGGCTCTCGCACTTCGGAGGAAACGAGGGGCGGGATGGGGGAAAGGAGATTGTTTCTGTTGACATTTGGCTATGGGAGTGAAACCGCATCTATTTGTCTCCAAAGCCTACATTTTAGCAGCACAAAGTTTTCCTTTCAAAGTCCGGACCGTACGAGATGCATGCACGCGTCCGCGCATTCCACGAGCGGGGCATGGAGCAGGACGGGGACACCAGTGCCTGCCACGGGAGGGAACTTGGAAAGAGAAACCTGCCTTTTGGTGGACTGGGGTTTCGCTAAGAGTTGTCTCTCTGCTTGCAGAAGAAGCACAGATAACAACCTGGGTACTTTTTTTATTCTTTATTTAAACTTAGACTTGTTTGTTTAAATCAGAAACAAATTCTCAAGTAAAAAGAATCCTTTTTGCTCATTCTGCACCAGTGGTGAAAGGGTATGTCTTTGGATTTTATTTAAAGCATGAATTCATTCTTTAGAGAAAAAAAAAAAAGTAACAAAAACTTATCTTAAAAGAAGGAACAGAGTGCAGCCTAATTACACAAACAGAAACAAATGCTTATAGTTCAGGAACAGAGTCTTTGAAGCATTTACAAAATGAGGAAAAAAAGAAGGGAAGAAGAAGGAAAAAAAAAAAGGAAAATGGAAATTAAGAAAGAGATAAGTGCACAAGGGTAACAGACATAGGTAAATCGTATGTATACGCCTTAAAAAGTTTCAAACCCCCAACAAAAAATATTCTGCAGGGATCCTACTGACCCCCCAAAACCCTTTGAACTTCTTTCTTTAGTTTTTATAAAATAATTATGCAACCACCCTCTAAGAAATGAAGGTAGCAACCATAAATGGAAGATTACAGGATGGGGGAACGGACAGTAAAGGTACAAAGGGGAGAAAAGCTTAGGTGAGTCAATGGATTGCAATCTACCTGGCTAGGAATGAACAAGACAACATCAAATGAGAAGCTGTCAGCTGGACCATACAAAAGCTAAATGTACACAAAAGGGTTTTTTCTTTTAAATCTACCATACTGCTCAGTTCATTTCCAATGCAACAATCTACTCAACACCAAAAATGGTCATATCTATCATAAATACAGAAAGTCAGTTGTTTTAAAACTTATTTTTTAAGTTCCGAGTCCTCAACACTCTTTGTGTGGGTTTTTTCTCTGAAGAGTGGGAGTGCTTAACTCTTCCCCTTGAAATTCGCTTCAGCAGAAAAGCTACCCTTAAGATCCCCAAAAAAGCTAAAGCAGTTCACATTGTTTTTCTCTTGAATACTTTCTGCCCATTTTAAATAAACAACAATAACAACAAAACCCCCCCCAAGAAATCCCCAAAAAACCCCCCCCAAGATCCCCCCAAAAACAAACAAACCAGCAAAAAAGAGAAAGAGAAAAATAACAATTAAAAGGAAAAGAAAAAAAAAGTCCTCTTCTGGAACGAAAACAAAATGAAACAAAAAACCCCCAAAACAAACAAAAGAAATTTATATATATAAAACAATGATTCTGAAAACAGAACAAAGTGTGAGCGATTGACCTGAGAATAAAAAGACATTACATTTCTTTTTTCTTTTAGCAAGCCATTGGTATCTGAATGCTAAGATAGCAAGAAATTTAAAACTGTAACAAGGTGGGCTGCTTTCCCATACAGTGCGTGCCGGCCTCTGCTGTGCTATCGACGTGGGGCGGTTGAAAAGGGGCAAATATACAAGGGACTCAAGCTCCGAAGACAATGAGGAGACAGCACAGGCTTTTGTCTCCCAGACCAACAGTACCTTCAAAAGGACAAATGTAACAGATTTTTTTTCTTTTTTTTCTTTTTTTTTGTAGTTTTATTTTATTAAAAGGAAAGGGAAAAAAAGAAATGTAAAACCCACCGGCATCGTTATATGGGAAAACAACCCACGCTTTTTCTTTTTTTCTTTTTTCTTTTTTTTTTTTTTTTGGTTAGAAGCTTTGGAATTGCAGTTAGTCTATTTTTGAAATTGGTTTGTTATTAACTTTTTCATTTAAATTCATTTTCATTGTTCATCTTCAAAGCTTACAATCTGAAGGTGTCCATTCCTACACTAGCTAGACCACTGTCCTTAGGGCAGCCGGGGTCCCGGGGCCCCTCCGCCGGGCTCGCCGGTCCATCTGACTTTTGGCTAAGATCCGTGTCAGACTCCTCCGAATAGTCGTCTGTTGGCATCGAGGGCTGAACCCCTGAGGTGCTGCATGAACTTGAGGTAACCGTTGAAGATGAGGAGAGAGGAGGGAAAGGCGGCGGCGGTGGCTTCCCCGGCGGGGCGCGGGGGGCTGCCGGGGGCCAGGGCTTTCTGGCGGCGTGGGGGGAAGCCGGGGGGGCCCGGGGGGGCGGGGGGCTGTCATTTGAGTGAGCGGCCGACTGCGAGGTAGATGCGGTGCTGGGGTCGGGGGGGCAGGCAGAGTGAGGTAATAGACTGGGGTGCTCTTTGGCGTTTCTTGCTGCTCTTGTGATTGTTCGGTGTTTGTGCGGGGCTGACTCGAGATGCTGACTGAGGGCTTCGTCCCCACACACTGTGCTCTCGCACGCCACGCACTGGTACGAGCCGCTGCCCTGGCTGCTGCCGGTGGGCACGTGAAGCACCATCTCTTGCAGGTTCGCCATGGACTGGCCGAAGAAGCAGAGGGACTTCAGGTGGTCGCTGGCCGCCTCCTGGTCGCTGAAGCCCGCCTGGCACTTGCGGCAGACCAGCTTGTACTGCACCTTCGGGACAATGAAGGGGTCGCAGAGGGAGTCTGCGCCCTTGCCTTCTGCTTCAGGCTCTTCTTGGGGTTTGGGCAGGAGGGGGGACACCTCGCGGGGTGCATTCTTTTGCTCTTCTTGCTTGGGGGGTTCTTTGGCAGGGTCTTTGTCCGGGGTGGCAGCCCCCGCGGGGACGGGGGTTTGGCTTCCTTTGGGCTGCTGCACTTTCTGCTGCTGCTGCTGCTGCTGCGCCTGCCGTTGCTGCTGCTGCTGCTGCTGCAATGTCTCCTGCAGACTCTGCTGGTATTGCTGGTACTGCTGCAGCAGGGAGCCGGGGGACAGCCCCAGCAGTGCCTGTGACAGCGCTGGGCTGTAAGGGAAGAGCCCCTCCATCCCGTACATGGGCTGCAGGTACCCACTCTGCAGGGCGCCGGGGATCTGCGGGGCATAGTAGGGGGAAAAGCCGGGGACGAAGTAAGGAAGGAACTGGCTCGTTAGCAAGGTGGTGGGGTCTGAATTCAGGGCGGCCTGCAGCGCCTGGAGCTGGGTGGGCTCCACAGCGTACTCCATGGTGGGTAGTGGGGCTGAAATGGCACCCACCGCTGCCTCCCCCTTCTCCTTTTTGGGCCCTGGCAGGGGCTCCGCCTTCCCCTTGGGTGCCTTCTCCTTCTCTTTTGCCTTCTCACTCTCCTTCTCCTTACGCTGTGGCTGGGGTGTCTGCTGCGGCTGCGGCGTCGTTGCTGGCGGCTGCTGCGGGGCCACGGCTGCAGTGGCTTGTGCTGGGGTGAGCGAGCTCAGAGTGGCCGGGGGCTGCTTATTTGGTAATCCAGAGGTCGGGAGGCCAGGCGAAGGGACGCTTGTGCTGGGCAGACCCATCAGGTTGGGTTTGGGAGAAGTTAAAGCTGCAAGGAGGAGAGAGAGGTAAGCAATCACTTGGTGCTGGGCAGGCAGAAAGCACAAGGTGTGACAACCACTCCTCTCCCCAGTCCCCCACGCCCTGTGCCGTGGGGATGTGCTTGTCAGTCCTCATCACCAGCTGCATCCCACCAGCAACCTGGTATGCTCAGCAGAGCTGTTGCTTTATTGACCCCTCTGCAATTCCCAAATGATTAAGAGCTGATGTCATGGATGGGCGCTTTTCCTACATCTGCAGTAACTGGTCCCTTGGCCAAAGAACTCCAGCAAGAAGAAGGTACAAGGCTGGATGCCACAACACTAGATACTGTCAGTCTCATTACAATCTTCACAGATTAAAATACCCTGCTCACAGCAACTGGAGAGGACCTAACAGACTAAATCTAGTTTGTCCTTATAAGGATGATGCTGGATGATGCTCACCAATCCACAAACCTCTGATGAAACACTTCTTTCCAGTGTAAGAGGCTTTGGGTGCTCAGCTTCTGGGTAATTATCTCAGAGTTTGTGTGGTATTCAGACAAACCCCAGGGCATGAACATCGTGTTTGGGTGGAATTAAAAGGGTCATGATGCTTCCACACAGAGGAGATGGATTAATGGTGTAATGTGAAGTCCACCCATTTTCTCAACAGCAAAAATAGGAAGGGAACCATGCCAGCAGGGCCATTGCTGTGAACAGGGCAGGCAGTGATTCCTGGCAGGGAAATCCAGCTGCTACAGGGCTCCTTCGCCCTGCAAAGGCAGTGTAAAGGGACTCAAACACAGCTAGGGGCTGGGGCCAACAATCTTCAGGGGCTGGACTGTTGCAGGACCCACCAGAGGGCTGGGAGCAGGGCGGCCAAGAGTTCAGCCATGGCTGATGCAAAGCCCATCAGAAACCTGCATCTGCTCCTGATGCAGTATCAAGACAACAGTGATTTGTGACGGTATGAAGTGTATGAAGTGAGCCTCCACACAGCAGCCTTGTAGATTTCAGATAAGGGCATATTATGGATAGATGCCATTGAAACTGATGTACCCTAGCTGAACGCTCCCCGAAAGGTTCAAGTGTGGGAGCAGCAGCTAATTCATAACATTCCTGGATGCACAGCCTTATCTGCTTCGACAGGCTTTGAGCCGAGATGGCCTGACCTTTGGAGCTTTATCTAAAGGCCACAAACTGTTTGTTTGACTTTCTAAATAGCTTAGTCCTGTCAAGGCAGTCACTGATTGCTTTTAACATTCATAGTACGTAGCCCCATCTCCCCAGGACACATACTGGTCTTTGGAGGAAAATAAAAGCAACAATATAGATTGAAGTGCAAAAAAGTAATTTTAGATCTTGTTACAAATTTGGAGTATTAGGTAAACAGCACAGAGCTATCTATGATAGGCTGACAATACAATTTGCCAAAGAGATTCTCTTCGTCTGGTTCTGGCTTCTGAAACAAGACCTTAGGCAATAACAGAAGTATCACATGAAAAAGTCCTGGCATTGAAAGATGCCCTTGGGATGTGCAGCTAAGATTAGACTAAAAAAGCAAAAAATGGGCAGCAGCCCCAAACAGAAGATTTTCTAACAGCAACTGTTTTTAAAAATGGTTTAATTACAATGACCTATCCCTCAACTGTAGTCAAGAATAATTTTACTTTGCTTTGGGGTCATGGGAAGACTTGTATAACTATGTGAAAAGCCTCACAGCGGCCCTAACTCCCAGCAGAAAGCTTTTTCAGAGCCCCCAAAATACAGTGAAATTTAACTGTTCTTCATTTGTCAACCAAAGATACTTCAGAGACAAGCAGCAATGGAGAAAAAAGGTGAACACAGCCACCTCTAAGGGGAGAGAAGGATGTCAGTTTTGACTCACGGGTTTCTAGTGCTCTCTTTAGGGTGTTACACCTAAAGTGTGTTACACCACGGACACACTTCAGGTGCTAGTGATGTGATTTACAGTGAGCAGCTCAGTAGCCAGTCCTGCTGTGAATGCCAGATGAGCTGCTCAAGCTCCATGTAGCTCACACTGGCTACCAGCCTTTTGTCTAAGTCTTTGATTTGCTTATCTGAAGATTTACCTCCTGGATGACAAAAGAAGACAGCTATTTTATTAACATGATACAACCATGTTACCTGGCAACATCTGCACTGAGTTTTTCAATCTGTTGAAAAAGGAACTTCAGAGTCAGGCTGCTGAATAAAAGCATCAGAAAGTCTTTCTGTAGACTGAGTTTCCGATTAAGGAGCTGGGAAGATGCTCAGATCCTATTTAGGCTACACACTATGGATTACAACTCATTATTAGCCAATCAGTTTAGTACAATAAGATAAAGTTACTTCAGAAAACATGATTTTTAAGAATATGCAAAGACAGGTTGCTTTATCAAGCAAAAAAGAACAAAAGTGAATGTCAATCAGGCTTTTACTTTTTGATAAAAGTCAGCTCAGTCCCACATCTGTATCAGAGATCGTTAAAATCATGGCCCCAATTTCCATTCTTTAACCAGGTGCTTCTCTTGAAGCCACCAACACCTTGCCTCCTGTTTCCAAACCTGGAGAACCCTTGTTCTTGAGAACTCTTGTATCATTATTATTTCTAATAAAGGCAGACCTGTACAGCTGCAGGGCAGAAAACAAGGATGCACAGTGGCATCTGGTGTAACTGCACCAGGTGTTACGGTGCCACAGGCTTTCCAACCCGAGACAGACTAAGCCTGTTCTGGAGACAAGACACTGGACTCGGTATATCTCTGTAAATGTAAATCACCCCTGGTGAAAGTTAACTTGAAAAAGGATCATCAGAAGTAACAGGGAATTATTCCAAGTGGAAGTAAGCCTGGGAGAGAACACCGATTATTCTGTTACGAGTGAAATTCAGACACAGCCATGTTCCTGGGATCCCACTGATGTAGCAGGCAGTAAACAAGGCTCTTGGATCATGTTTTCTAGGCCACTGCTAGTCTACTGAGCAGTATCTTCCACCGCCAGTGTTTGCTACAGATCTTACACACTCCATGCATTTACCAGGTATACAGAAAAGGTATGTCCTCAAAAAAACAAAGTCCATTATCTGGGATTAGGCCACCCAAAGGACTCTGCCAAATTTTATTTTTATGAAGTATTGTTGAAAAAAAATGTTACTGAAATACAAAGTAGACATGACCCATGACTACACCACTGTTGGTTAAGAAGGTACTTTCAGGTTTTATCCAGCCATGACTCAGAAACCAACCCACAGCTGCACTGGGATTAGTCCTGGAGGTCACCATAAGGATATTACATTAAGATGGTCCAGGAGTCTGTCACCAGTGCTACCAGGCACATCACACTTTTGCCTAGAAAGAGTTCACAATTAGTGGAAATTTGGGACGCCATTACATAAACTGAATTTAATAGCAAAACAAAAGCTATAATGAACAATGCATTCAGCACATTAGCCCTTTTCCTGTTCCGTTTGATAAATCCTTTATTCTTCATTTCTTCAAAGGTGCTTCAGCATTTTTAGGCTGTGCTAAGGAAAAAGAGATACACAAAATGGCTACATCTTGGTCTGTTTCAGACTTGGCTAGAAAACCCACATTCAGGAATTAAAATATAAAATACCTATTGCTCATTCGATGTCAAGTAAATATGCTCCACTAAAGGGCCAGGTACCAGCCATTCCTCAAGAGAACGTCTGCTTGTGCTAAAGATGTGTCAAGTTAAGCTGTGTCTCTGAGCAGTGTGATAATATCCATACCCACCTGTGTTGGATGGAGTGAAGCCTGGTAAGGATGGGCTGTTGAGGCCTGGGAGCAAGACTGGAGGGATGCCCTGTAGTGCTGGGTATGCAGCAGGAAGGTTAAGAGCTTGCAGAGGGGTGTTATCAAACATGCCCTGCTGTTGAGCTGCCAGACCAAGAACCTCATTGGCTTTTTTGATCCGGTCCAGCTCCTGTTGAGCCATCAACTGGCGTACAGTAGCTGGGTCAAAATACTCCTTTTCCTTATCCAACTGGCTTCCAATGGTTTCTTTAACTTTGGAGATATGCTGTTGAGAGAAGATATGGTCACGTACAGACAGTCGAGCGCTGTACTTGATGCCACACAAAGTGCACTCTGTTTTGGGTCCCTCGTAACTTGTTTGGTTTATACCAAAATGCTTGGCCATGCTGAGTTTGGACTTCTTCTCCTTCGCCCTAGCATTCTGGAACCAGACCTGAACAACTCTCTTTGGCAGTCCAATGTCATTGCCCAGGACCTCACACTCCAGCATGGTAGGTGTCCTGTAGTCATTAAAGCATGACTTAAGAACTTTTAGTTGGAGATTAGTCATCTGAGTGCGAAAGCGTTTCTGCCCAGGACGATCCCCACTCTCTCCAGACTTGCTGGCTGAACCACTTGCACCAGGGTTCGGTGAGCAGGGGTCTGCAAGGCTGGATGTTTCACTATAGTCCACAGTACCTTCATTATCATACTCCTTGCTGTAAAAGCTGGGAGCTGGGCTGACCAGGCCAGAAGACAGCCGATCTTCATATTCAGACATTGCTATCATGGCAGCTTTTGTGAGACCCTCACTGGGTCCTGATGTTGATTTGGTTTCAGTTGCAATCCCTGTGGCACTATCATTGTCTGCATTCCCTTCATCTCCTGTTGTAGTGTCTGTGATTGCAGTGTTGACAGAAGAGCAGTCATCATTGTCCAGCTTTGTTTGGTCAAAGCTCAGATTGACTGAGGACATGGAGGGACTCTCAAAGTCTTCCATCCCTTCAACCTTAATGGAGGATGGACTCAGCAGAGTTCGAGGTGACAGCTCCATGCTCTTGTTCACTGGGGAGAGAGGAACACTATGTCCATCACTGCTTGTTGGTGGCATGTGGGAAAAGCTTCCTCCATCAAAGATGTCTCCCTTCATCTGTAGTCCCCCATCACAATCCAAGAGCATAGCAGACAATGTCAAGTTGTACCCAGCTCTCTTGGCCTCATGCCAGTGACGGGAACGGATATGAGCTTCCAGAGCTGTCTTTGCTTTAAAGAGAGCTCGGCAGAAGGGGCACCGTCTATGGGCTTGGGCAGGCCCTACAGCTCTGAACTGCCCCTTCCTTTCCCGTGCACGTGTGTTCTGAAACCAAACTTGCACCACACGTTTCTTCAAGCCCACTTCATGAGCAATGTGATCCAACATTTTCCGCGTTGGGTTGGAGTCGAGCAAGTACTTCTGATAAAGAATTTCCAGCTGCTCTGGGGTAATGGTAGTCCTTAGACGTTTATCCCTTTGTGGTTCTTCTCCTCCAGTCCCACTGTCATTTTCTCCAGGACTTGCACTGGCCTTTTCCTCCAGCTTTCTCTTCAGTGTGTTCATTGTGGATGTTGGAGTTGATGGCGAAGTGGCTGAGCTTGCTGGAATTTGTGGTAATGCCCCAGATAGCAGCTGGCTCGCAAGTAGTGGATTACTGGGATCAAAAAGCATGAAGGGCATATCCAGGGTTCTGTCCAGGAATGGGGGGTGGATAAACTGGTTCTGTGCGCTCAGAAAATGAAGCTGCTGATGCTCCTGCCAATGCTCAAAGGAAGGAAATGCTAGCTTACACTGGTCACACTGGTATGGGATTAGCTGAGGAGGTAGGTTTGCCAGCTGTTGAGGGGTGGATGTGTGAATGGGTTTGAGGGAGAGATGCGAGAGCTGAGATGGACTTGGGCTTGACTGTGACAAGGAGCACTGAGGGGGCTGAGGAGGGGGAGGTGGCTGTTGCAGTGAAGAAGGGGAGGATAACTGTGAAATCTTTTGGTGTGCTGAACTTGTCTTTTGTTCTCCTTGGTCCTGTTGCTGTTGAGACTCTTGCTTTGGTTGCATTTGCTTCTCTTGAGTTTGGTTTTGCTGTGTACTTGGAGGTTCAGACTGCTTTGGTTTCTCTTCTGTAGTTTCTATTTTAGAACTATAGGTGGAGGAATCATCTGCCTCTGCTGTGAGCTGCAGAAAAGCTGAGGAGGTTGCATTGGCTGAAGATGTAGGTGTGCTGTAAGCTTGTGAGGGCATTGGTGTGCTGCAGGAGGAACTGGTTGGAGTTAAGAGCTCCATTGCATCCATAGAGTCTTCATTCTGGCTATCATCCTGTCCATCCTCATCCTCATCTTTGTAACAAAGCTTTTTCTGATGTTTAATGAGATCAAAAATGCGCTGAAAGACGAGACTGCACTTTTTGCACTGGTAGTTCAAGTTGCTTGTTCTAATATACCTGTCATTTGTAAGCTCCCGTCGTTCCCCATCTTTGCCTTCTCCCTGATTCTCATAGTTTTTCCTAGCCTTCTGACGGGCATTCTGAAACCACACCACTATAACACGCGTTGGGAGGTTCAGCAAGTTAGAAAGCTGCTCAAATTCATCATCCTTTGGATAAGCATTAGCATCAAAGAAGTCCTGCAGGACTCTGAGTTGGTAGTCAGTAAAGCGTGTCCGGGAGGACCGCTTGCTTCCCCAGTACTCCTGCTTTTGAGGTTCTGGAGAAGGAGGTCGTGAGTCAATCTTCAGTTCTTCCAGGCTGGTAATGGGAGGATTACTGAAATTGTATGGGGAATCCTTGTTGCGCTGGCGTTCTTTGAAAAGAGTGTTTCTGAACCAGTGCTTGATCACTTTCTGAGGCAGTCCAGATTTGTCCGCCATCTCTTTGATCTGTTCCTCACTTGGGGAATTGTTAATATCAAAATACTGCCGAAGGACTCTGAGTTGGTCGTCGGTGATCCGCGTCCGTGGCCTCTTGTTCTGCTGCTGCTGGAGAAGGCTAGGGTTGAGCTGATGCTGGTACAATTGGGCCAAGTCGGCAGGCAAAGGGTCTACAGGACCCAGCTGGGGTGGCAGCTGTGCAGGTAACGTCTGTAGTGGCATGGTTTGCATCATCAGTGGTGAAAAGATGGGGAGCTCCATTGGCATGGAGAGCTGGGTGAGTGGCACAGATGTCTGGGCTGGTGCGATCGTAGGAGAGGTGATCGGTGGGGCAGACGTAGGGATGGTAGGAGTTGAAGCCGGCTGAGGCGGTGCTGGAGGAAGTGGAGGTGGTGGTGGAGGAGGTGGTGGTGGTGGCTCTGGGGTCTGAGGCCGCAGTGGGTAGAGTTTGTCATAGTGTTCTCTGTATTGTTTGGCAAATCTCTCTAACTGCTTGAAGGGAAAGTAATGTTGGTGAACATGCTCTTGGTGGCTCTTCAGGATGAGGATGTTTGAAAAGAACTTGCCACATGTGTCACACTCGAGCTTTTCCAAGTTCTCACCTTGCTCTGTCTTCCCATTTTTCTTCTGCACCTTCTGCTTGTTCTCATTATACTGAATGACAAGCTCAAAGCCAAAGTTTTCAAGCAAGGCTTTTGTGGCATTCCCTCTTGCATCAGAGGCAATACGTGGCGGCAGTAAGGAAGGCTCTGAACTACCACCTGGTACAAAGTCCTTCTTCTCTTTGGGCTTTAAGTTATCAGGTAGAGACTCTTTAGATGCTACATTACTGTCTCCCCTCTCTGCACTTTCCCTTTCCCTTGGGACTTCTTTTTCTTTCTCCTTCAGTACGGGTTTATTCTTCTTCTCAGGGTGCTGGCTCTTCTGTATAAGGACGGAGTGAGGTTGTGACAAGGAGAGCTGGCCTTGCTGCTGCTGTAAGAGCTGTGGATGGCTCTGCTGAGAGATCTGAACTTGAGCCTTCAGGTCCTCCAGCAAACTCTGACCTGTACCAGTCAATGTCAGCGCACCACTGGTGACAGGCAAACTAACTTCTGGATTGAGCTGGAACTCGGCACTAGGGATGTAGAAAGGAAACAAAAGATGCTGCTGTTGCTGAAGCTGCAGAAGGGTCTCAGTGGTCATTGGAAAGTGCGGCAAAAGTGCTGGGTTGAAGAGCTGGGACTGCAGAAGAGCAGCCTGCTGCTGCAGTTCTTGTTGCAGATGGGCTTGGACTTGGGCCTGAGCCTGGGCCAGGGTTTGAGCTTGCTGCTGCTGCTGCTGCTGCTGCTGCTGCTGCCTGGATGCAATCATGTCTGCCAACTTCTTTCGGTTTACCTCTTTGGGCTCCGAAGCAGAGGAGCTACTAGCGCTTACAGGGTTACCTAATGTAGGAATTCCCATGTTGTCACTGGATACCTGGTTGAGCAGGCTGGGAATGGGAACTGGGCCCGAATTACTTGTGTTGGTGGCTGTAAAAGTATTACTGTTGGTAGCGTTCACTGGACTTGGTGTGGATGAACCCAAAGAAAGACTGCTGCTGCTGCTGCCAGCTCCATTACTGCTGCCGCTGCCCCCAGCCGCTTCCAGTTTGGCAGCGCGAGCCTTGGTTTGGTGCAGGACAGACCTCATATGGATCTCCAAGGTTGAGCTCTGACTGTAGGCCACGTTGCAGGTGTTACACTTAAAAGGCTTGTTGTCTGGGCTGCTGGTCGGTTCAGGCTGCCCTGTAGCAGACTCTTGGAGGGCTCTTTTCAGTTTATGCAGGTGAGAAACTGAATTGTAATGGACCAGGAGAATGTTCTTTTGCGTGAAAGATTCTTTGCAGACTGTGCACTTGTACGGGCGAGACGGATCTAGGAATTTCTCCATAGTGAAGTTAGGGCCCTTTCTGAAGGGTAAGGCCCTTTTTGGTTCTGAGCCAGAGTCCTCTTGCACTGACCCTGAATCACTACCTGTTGGGCTCTGCTTATCTTCCAAGTCGCTCTCCTCCTCCTTATCTTCCTCGACTATGATAGTGTGATCTTCTGCAAGCGAAGGATCGCCCATCGCAAGGAGGTCCCCATTGACCAAAAGACCACCATAGAGCTGCTGAATGTCAGCCTCACTCAGCTCCAGATGGCTGGTTTCCAGGTGCTTCTTCAGGGCCTGGAAGGTTCGGAAGCTGCGCTGGCAGAGGCAGCACATGGTGGCTGCCCGGATGACATGGTACTGGGAATGAAGCTGCAGCTTCTCAATGGTTTTGAATGCCAGGCTGCACTGGTTACAGCGGTACTTGTAGACATGGCGATCGGACACCGGCAGCTGAGGCCGCTTTGCATGGACCTCATTGAAGTGTGTCTGCAGGGCTGCCGAGCTCTTGAACACCTGGTTGCAGCCTTTCTTCCAGCAGAGGAAGCTGGAGTCCTCCCTGGCAGAGCTTGGATCAGACAGAACCGGCTTGGGATCTCCGGTGTGCTCTGTGCTGTCCAATGGCAGAAGACCCTTTCCCGAGTCCTCAGGGATCTCTGTGAAAACAGAATGAGAGCAAACCTGACAATTACACCAGCACAGAGGGACAATCAGTGCCCTCTCTTTTGTTCTTAACATGTCCATGTGTTTTCTCTGCAAATGATAGGTATTTCTAACACTTCTCCTCTATCTTCATTCATTTATTTTAACAACAGCCCATTATCCTCATCATGGCCCACTGCATAAACCTACACAATTTACTTTGCTTCGCCCACTTTGAGTATGTGGAAATTGTTCACACACACACACATTTTCTTACTGAATTTATCACCTTTAATGCTTCCTTTTAAGTGAAGGGCATTCGGCCACCTGTGCGTGTTTGCTGTTTTGCTTTGATGTTCTGCCTATTTTCCAATAAGGAAGTTCATCAGACTGAATGCAGTATTTGAGTCTTGGTCCTACCAAAGCTAGAAACAAGAGGAATGAAATGTGGGTCCTTCTGGCAGCAGCTCAAAGGGTGCTGTTTGAGGGAAGATGGGAGAAGAAGGAACAAGCACTCAGTGCACTGCCACTTATCCAGGGTCTAAGAGCACAGTCCTGCTGGAGTAAAGTGTGATATGGGGAGAGGCCAAAAAAAGATCCCCTTGCCCAGGACAGCATTAGCTGCCTCAGGACTCTCTGTCTGAAAGGAAATGACACTGTGTTCATTCCCTGATTCCTTACAGAACTTCCAGGAGGGCACAGAAGGAAGACAGGCATTGCTTCCCTGCCAGGTCTGACACCAGACTCTTCCGCCCATGCAGAGCTATGTTCTTGGGATGCTCTCATATCACACAAAAAAGCCAGGACTAAATAGCCATGGATTTACAGCCATGCTTACATGATGAAGCATGGCAATGAAAAAGGCTGAGATTTGGGCTGGAGAAGGACTTCAGCAGTTCAAAGCTCCTCAGACAGTATGCCCAGACACTGTACTGAGCTGTGATGGCAGCGGAGCAGGTACAGCAGATATGGCAACACAGTCTCCAGCCAGCAGCTGCCACCTTTGGCATTTCTATTTGGATCCCCTCAGCCCTCCACTACCTCTGCTTTTCACCACTCTCATCTGGTCCTTCCTTTGCAAGGATTCAACACCACTTCTATATGAATAGCCACACTGGTGACCTGTGTTCCTCAGCTCTGAGCTGCCCTGCCATGGGAACTCCTGAGGCACAAGACTGTGGCACAGATGAAGGAAGATGGCCCTGCTGGGCACTGTCCCACTGTGGTTTTCAGGAGACAGCTGGGCATATGAAATTCATCCATTTGAAGATATCCCCAGATACATCCCCTGATGAGGTGATGGAAGCTGAGGGAGTGGTAGGACTCATGGACCTCAGTGACCAGCACTCACCATGCTGCTTCCCCAGCTCCTCTGCAGCAGAGTTCCCATCTTTTTCTGGAGCGGCTGCTGGGAGAAACATACTGCTGGGCATCATCACCTCAGGTGTTGTCACCTGGAGAAAGGGAAGAAAGGATGTGGGGAGAAGAGAAACACAGGAAAATATTTTACACATCTTCAGTGGCAAAATTAGACACCACAATTGTAAAGTCAGAGGCGTCACTTTTCATGGCTCACTGAAGATTCACATTTATTAGACAAAGCTCCCATCAGTCAAAAGTGTTTCTACAGTTACATTCTGGACATAATTAGCAGTGCACACTTGAAGAATAATCTTATTATTAATATTTTTCCTTTATGTAGAATTCAGACTTTGATCACTGACAATGTTTTGTCATGGGCTGTGAAACTTCTTGTGCAACCAATTAGGTAGATAAGTTGAAAGGCCCACCTTAAGCTGCTGAAAACATAATAAGGCCCCTAATTAAATCATACCTCGTAAAGTACACTGTAATCTTGAACTAGGGAGCATTGCAGCACTGTTTTCAAAGTGTACCCATGCAGGAAAACGAGGGGCATGAGAAAGAAAAGTACAAATAAGGAGAGAGGTGACAAAGGAACGGATGAATAAGAAAAGACTAAAAAGAAAGCAAATTGTCTGCAAACTGGAAAGCTTTTGGTAACCCCTTCCTTGCTCTGACTGATGTGCTCCCTTCACCTCTCTTCAGGTGTTTGTCCATAACCTGCATCACCATAACTAGCACAGTGCTTGAACAACAACAGTTTCAAAGAGCTGGAGAGTGCTTCAACTGGAGATGCTCTTTGAAAGAGTCAAATGCACATGCTCATCTTCTTCTGGAAAACTGTTTCTTTGGGTGTACCCGGTCGCACACAGAACATGCAAACCACCTCACCAGCAATTTGCACATGGTTGGCACTGGACACAAGACAATATATAATCTTCTGAACATCCAGACCAGTAGCTGGCACCACCTGAAAAGCTGCCCACAGCCCTTCTCCCAGAGCAGCAACTGCACAGACAGACCCACGCCAGCATCACCATCTGCACTGTATTCCAGTGCAGGTCTGTCAGCACTGGTTAGATGCCTGTGGCAAGTGAAGACATCTCTACAGCTTGGAGTGGCTGCATGCCTCACCCCACTGATGCGCAGGGAGCACTGTCCTTTCACCAGGGCTGTGGTACTTGAAGGAACAGGAACCAACACTGAGTTGCAACGCTTGTGGTGCTTCTGCTCCCAGCCTCTGGCTGCTGGGGAAGTGAGGCGTAAATAAACATTCCTAAATGGGTATGTATGCTAGCAAACATCACTCCATCCTTCTGTCAGAGGGCATTTGAACCTTGGACTACAGAAGAGAGTGAGGCTGTTATCTGCACATCATTTACCTTGCTTTCTGCAAAGTCAAGGACCACAAGGCTCTGACTGAACCAAATGAGGTATTAGCAAATCTGTGGGGAAGCTGAAGGTAAACCTATGTGCAGGACACGAAATCTTCCTTATCTATACACGTGTCAAATCCAAGCAAACACAGACTAGACCTTGGCTTCATGAAGTGAACGGAAGCAAAAACAGTCCATGAAAAACCTCAGAAACAGATGTTGGTGTAGAGGGGTTGCAGCCATCTGACCCCTGATGGGGAGGGCTGCTGAGCTCCCCTCTTTACTGGGGCAACTGGTGCACAGGGGTGAGCACTAGGTCTCACCGGTGCCTGCGGGAAGAGCAGCTGACCCTGATAAATCACTGGGAGGGAAGCTGAGCACACCATGTTCATTCCATCTTTTGCTCTAAGCAGAAGCATCTGATGGCTGTGGGTGGTGGGTTGGAAGATGTGAAAGGTCACCAGTTAATTCCCGGTAGCAGGGCTCAGAGGAGGGGGACGAGCAGGACGTAAAGGGGGGAAGGCAAGAGGGAGACGTCCCTCTCAGCGTTATCAGCAGGGAGAGCGCCTTCCTAGGATCTTTAGAAATTACAAAAAATAAATCAGTAGAAATTAAAAAAAAACCCCAACAGAGTAGAAAAAGAATAAAATTATCTAACACCTCAGCTGCACATCATTATAGAGACTGTGGGCTTTTTATACGTATTACAGTAAGGCAGCCATCCCCACTACCACACTCAGTACGAAGGATCAGTAATTGTTTTCATACACTTTAATTAGAAAAACTCAGATGGCTATGAATAATAATGGAAAAGAGAGACTTTTGCACTTGAAAGGTTGAAGTCAATCAAGTGTGAATGACGGCAAAAAAGAAAAAAAAAAGACACCAATTCATCAGGCCTCTGTTGTCTCGCCGTGTCTTTAATCATAATTCCTGATTGGGATTCAAGAAGGCAGTAAGCAGCGGTTCTTTGTCTGCCTTCACCTTCCGTCAATTAACTCTCCCCGAAATATAATCATCAACCTCACATGCTCCTCTGCATCTTAATCTGGGGCTCCAAACCAATAAGTCCTGCCCTATATGTGTTTAAGTAATTACCTTTATCTACCTGCATCTCCATAGCCACAGTTCTCACCCTACTTCTACCCCTCCCTCCACAATAAAAAAGGGGTGGAAAAAAAAGGTGGGAAGAAGAAAAGAGGCTGTGGTGCACTGAATTTCTACAGGCACAAAATCCCCAAAGGCAAACAGAGAAAAGCCTTTGAAAAAAGTGCAGGAAACTAGAAATTCTGGATATGGATGTAGGGCAACTGCAGGCAGTCCAGCCAGCCACAGAGAGCTGGCCCTCTGTGAAACCTTGAAAACAAGGCACTGGTCTTGCTTCAGCAACTAGATCACGTCAGTCCTCTATCTGCTAAGCACCATTCAGGCTTCTCCTCAAAGTGCTGCCCGTTCTGTGCCATTGTTTAGGGCAGAACGACTCTGTGTCTTTATCCCCACAACCACCCCTAAGCACATAGCACAGATAGGAACAGTGACAGAGGCTGCTGTACATCTCAATCGTTCTGTATTTACAGTGGATTCCAGACTGCCTATTTTGAACTGTTTGTCCTTTTACACTTCAAACCCATCCGCGGATACACCATTTCCTTGTACATGCAGAAAATGTCTTGCACATCGTGGCTGTTTTTAATATAAACGAATGCTGTGAGTACTAGGGGGCAGGAAGGTTTAGCAGACCATGGCCACCGGCAGATAAACAGGGAGAAGTGCTCTACAACACAGCATTTTCTGCTTCACATGTATTTAAATGGCATTAACTGTTCTGGTGATAGAGGGGAACGTGTTTATCTTGAGCACAGCATGTGTTAGCGCATGCGGTTGTTCAGTCCTCTCTACCTCCCTCCCACCTGAGCAGACAACACCTGGCATGAAATCCTGGCATCCTCCATCCCTGTTTCAGTGTCTCTTCAACACAGTTTCCCAATGGCTACGTGTTGATCACTGTGAATTGCTATTAGAAAAACAGCCCTACAGATGCAAGTTCTACAAATGTGATTGGCTTCTCCCTTTCCTCCTCCTGCACACGCTTGTTTTGCTCTAACATTAAACTGTACCCCCTTTGCAGTGAAAAGAGCAAAGGAGGGGGAAGTTTGTGCCAGAGACTGGCAGTCCCTCTTGTGCCCCACTTTGAAACATTTCCCCTTGGTCTGTACTGCAGATGGGAATGCTGGCTAGGCAACCTCCCTCTAAAGCAGACTGCAGAGAAGCTGATTACCTGCCCTAGATGGAAAGTTATTGGGAAAAGCCTCTCTGCTTCCAAGGACCCTCCCTTTCTATGGAATTCAGATCCCCTTAAGGAGATAAAATTTCTTTATGGTGACAAGATTCAGTGACACACATGGGCACCCCAATTTGGTGGCCATTTCTACAGACAATGTGGTCCACTGAGTGACTGTACAAAACACCCAAGGGCGTACATGCCACATCTCCGGCTCCCCTTCCCCACAAGGATCCCCGGCAGATCACACATGTCCTTACAACCACAGACCTGTCACCAGTCTGGAAAACAGCCTTCAGGTCCACTCCTCACCGGAGACAACCTACAGCAGCGACATGCATGGCTCCTGCCACTACTGAATCTATGAGATCTTTAAGATGATGAACTGCAGAACTGTTATCAGCATTGGCTGGAGGCTCTGAGCTGAACCCCCCTCCTGTGCTGGCCCTGGCGGCATGACACCAGGATATCCCTGGCATGTTCAGTGAATTAATCTTGGACAGGGTGAATAGCCAGCCCCCCTTGTGCACTCGATCTGCCTGCTCTGACCTTCCTCCGCACTGAGTGACCAAAGGTGTGGATGGTCTATGCAGTTCCTCTGGAAATGCCCCATACTACTGATATCATGCAGCTTTGAAAAGCAAATCTCTCAAAAGGGTCTGAGGAGATACATTACTATCCCTATGTCCATGCAACCAGGGGGAAACACACATGCAATGCAAGGTTCCCGAACCAGACAAAGGAGGTAATTTCCATTACAAAGAGAGAGAGAGGGTGCTGGAGTGAAAAGCTTCATTAGACTCAGAGAAGCAAAGCGATGGCAGTATACCAAGGTCACTTCTAATTTAGACCATCTAATTGGCAAACATGGCTCCAAATGGCTATCATCTCACAGGGCTCAGAATTAATGAAGCCCGATTATTTTCATTACCTTCATCCTAGATGGAGAATGAGACAGAGACTGAGAGGGAAAGGGGGGAGTGAGAGGGGGTGAGAAGGAGGGAGAGAGAAAAATTGAATGACAGCAGAAGGGAGAGAGCAGTAAGAAAAGACAATAGGAAAGAGGGAAAAAATGTATAGATGGCAAGAGGGAGAAGGTAAGGATGGCAGAGACTGGCGAGAATTACTCTTAAGGCCAAGGGAGAACAGAGAAAGATGGAAACTGGGAATATGTCCTAAGCCAAGGAAGAGAAAACTGACAACAGAAATGATGGGAGAGGAATGTGCAGAAGGATAAAGCTGGCTGTGGGAGGAGGGAGAGCTTCCCGCCCCCGGAGGCTCCTGGGAAGCTGTCCCTTCTCCTGGATCGAGCCCATCAGTCTTGTCAATCGACTGTGCCGACGAACTGCACTTCACCCTCATTAAGGGGCTCTCTGCTGAAGCAGTGCAGGCCCAAGGTTAGCCAAAAGGCTGTTATATGGAAAGATAGTGATTACATCTGCTTGGAGTGGCTGCAATGCCACATGAAATGAACTTGACCATATCCATTCACCAGCCCCACGGAAGGGAAGCTGCAGGAGAAGGGGGGTGTTGGGAGCCCCTGCCCCATGGTGCACCCTGGGCTCCACACCACCTGGGAGCATTTCGCGTGGCTCACCACTCTCTGCAGCCCCAGTCCCAGCGGCCTGGCCAGTGGAGAGGACTCGGCATCCCATGGGACAGCCAGCCTGGCTGCTTGCTGATATGAAAGGATGGAGCCTGGAACAGCCAGCTCTGGGATGCTGAGCACAAGCAAGCAGCGTTACTATGGCAACAGACATATTAGACACTGCAGGTTCCTGAAAGGCGTCTGATAAGGTATTATTAACTGAAGCCTCCTCCAAACACCCAGCGCAACGATGCTGTGTCGAAAGGGACCTGGCTCCCATTTACTGGACTGCAATTCCCTCATGGTGGCACCAAGACCTGATTCACATGTCAGATAGAGACAGGAATCTCAACTAAAATGAGCAAAATTAGGAACCTTTCATTCTGCCACATGACTTCATGAAGCCATAGTGATTTCAAAATATTTGTTATTTAATGCAAAAAAGAACCACCTTCTCAACCTACATGCTATTTGACTTGGAGCAAGAAAAGCAATCTTCCTCCCCTTATATATTTCTAGGTACCAAAGAGAACATCTGCCCAGGGCCAGTGACAATGGCCAGGTGGAAAAACAGGAATGAGCAGGAGGATGATCTTCATGGCTAAGCCAAACTCTACAGTCCTCAGCAGAAGCCCTGTGCTCCACAGCAGCAGGATGAGGCTCTGCTCCAGCTCAGCAGATGGCTCACCTATGAGGACTGTCCTCCACAGAACTACAGTTGCACTGGACACATCCTCTGTGGAGTGTCCCCAGCTCCTAATGAGTGGTTGCCCTGTATCCTGCAGGACACAGAGTGCTTAGGCAGAGAAGATGGACCAGCCCAATTGCACCCGTTCCAGACTGTGTTCTGCCAACAGCCCAGCTCAGAGACACACCATTTCACACCAACGTAACACACACCCTTAGCAAACCGGTTACACTTGCTGGCCTAAGAAATGGGCTCAGTTTCTGTCCACTGCTCTTAAAAGGCCAAGATGTCTTCCATCAATTTTGTCAGAAGCTAGTAAGATTTGTTCAAGTCCTCAGAAGGTATTTACAGACTAAGCACCATGAATCAAATGGGATGCAGATTGCAGAGACTGAGGTCAGCTCCTTGATTCAGATACATGAGTGGTGGGCAGAGTTGAGCTGTGCCCTGCTCAATCCTGTGGGCATGGCCAGTTCACAGAGTTAGTGATCTGCTGGTGCTCTTCTTCCCTATCTCCCTGTATTTTGTTACTCAGAGACCTGTCAGCCTGGGTTTTTCAATGGGTTGTACAATGTGGTGCCTACTTGGGGCATGTTCAGTTCTCACGGTTGGTTCGGAGTGCTCGGTCAAGAGGTGGTGACCACCAGCCCCTGCAGCACACAGGGTGCAGGATGCCTCAACAGGGCCCAGACAGAGGGAAGGACAGTGAGAGGACAGGGAGCTGGTAAAGGAAAGCAGGCAGATAAAAAGCATAAAGGCATTTAAGAAGGAGCCGCAGAAGAACTGGGAGAGTAATAGAAAGAAAAGATAACAGAACTGTAAGAGAAATGCTGGGCAATGCTGCATATGCTTGCTCAGATGATGTCAGAGGAAGGGAGTTGATAAAGAACACTAGTACTATGACAAACATGGTGTTATTCACCTCTACTGTTGGGAACTGGCAAAGAAGGGGGAAAACAAGAAGAAATAGGGTGAAAAAAAAGAAAGCACAAAGAGAAAGAACAGACAGGAATAAACACTTATTTTATATACTTGGTGACAGGTTCTTAAATGCAAACACAATCTTGCCTTGAAGATTACACCAAACAAGTAACAGTGCAAAAATCTTACATTCCATTCCATTTGTGAATTTAGAAGGGTTTTTGAAAGTATGTCTTTTTAATTCTACCTGTATCTTGAACTGAGACTAGCAAATGGAAAGGCGCACTCATGTGAAACATATGAAAAGGGAATTAATGAAAGAAATGTTCTGGGACTCAGAATGTTATTTACGGAAGTAAGTGCCTGAGTGCTGGAGAGTGCAGTAACCCGTTACGAGCACTTCGGCACCACGACAGCACGTACTAGTCCACAGAAGAGGTCCAGTGGCTCCACATGTACACCAGCAGCAGAGAGGGATGCTGGGTCAGTGACACTGTGTGAAGCAAGAGCAGAAACCCAGGTCTCTAAAATGAGAACCTGAACACTGCACTGTTAATTTGCTACTTCTCACCAAGCGCTAGCTCTCAAGTCAGATGAATTTCAATTCCTTGGAGACAGTGTTGGAGAAGTATTCCCATGCTAAGTGCTAAAACAAGGAGGCAGGGCACAAGAAGAGCCTGGTGCAAACATACTTGTGCTGAACCATGATCTGCCATCCGAAGCTTCTGCTCCCCATTGGAAGTGCCACAAGCAATAGCCATCAACAACCCATACAGAAACACAAAGTTGTCTGACAAACAGCTCCGGAAGAAGGGTTGTTATAAGTTTTGAGCTCTAAATGAAGACAGAACACTTTAGGGAACTTTCACTCCACACTTCAGTGGCTAACTTCCTACTCTAGAGAATTTTAAATGCCTATGCTTAGATTTGGAGTTTAAATCAGGCATTTCCAAACATTTTAAAAACAGCACTTTAAAACAGCAGGTCTAGTATTCAAAAGTCCCCTAAGGTTCCAGTTCCCCTGGGCCAATGGCACTGTATCCCTTCCTTGTTCAGCTTACCCTGAAAAGGGAATTGTTACACCACAAACCCATGGTAATACTGGATGGAGCAACTCCTCACGTACCCAGCTCATCTCACACAGCTGTAACAATGATCTTCATTAAGTGAATGAAGTGCAGAACAGGGGCTGCACAATAGGACTATCTCCCCTCCATGAGATGAAGCTACTAAGGGAAGTTATTCTATTGGTTCTTAAAATCATATTTCAGGCAGAAACCTGGAATCTAATTTCCTGTAATGTTACCTTAATCACCCTCGCTGCCATTCTTGGGAAGTGCCCAACACACGAGCACTTTCCCTCTGCAGCAGGAGCAGCGCAGCACATCAGTTACTGCATATCCCAGAAGCTTCTGTGCAAAATGTGATCCCATGCAATGGCCTCAGTATTTAAAGGAAATCGTATTTATTCTAATCTCTTCACAGTGAAATTACTCAACACTGAAATACTGCCAGTTTCCACAGTGCTTAAGCATGGACAAAATAGTCTCTGTGACAAAACACAGAGGGATGGAAAAAACCTAGATGACAGAGTCCTGACAGATGAAGGAGCTGCTCACTACAGCAAAGTCAGCCTGTGCAGGTCAGGCCACCCCTTTACTCTTCATCTGTGCTAGGAAGGCAGTAGACATGCTTGACTATGCAGCACTTACCGTCATGATGAGCTTCTCAACACAGTCAGGCGACACACTGTGCAGATGGGTGAGGTGCAGCTGCAAATGGATCTTGTTGTTCAGCATGTCCTGGCAGAGCGGGCAGCGGAGCATGGGCTGCACTGAGTGCTGGGTCATGGTGTGCACCCGCAGCCGATTCACGTCTGTGTTACTGTACTTGCAATATGGACACTGATACATCTGCAGAGCAAGACAAATGAATCACGCACTTGACACAGCTGCTGCTTTCCTCTTTCCTTACAGCTAGACTTTAATAATTCGATGCCTTCTTCTACAACCAGTTATCGCCTTTCATCCTCCTTCTCCTATTATATTCTTTGCTTTTGGCACATATGAAACAAATTACCTGATTGTAGATGCTCAAAAAGCTGGGTTCTTCTTCCTTACCTGCTCTGATTTGGTCTCCTCTGAAGTTTTTGACCATTTAAAGGAAAGAGGCGACTCAGAGCTGCTGGGAAACGATATTCGTTTAGAGGATGCTGGAGACTCTGTCAGCTCCTTCTCTGCCTGGCTGGCTGGCGCTGCAACAAAACAAGATTTATATCAGGACATCCCCAAAAAGGCTGAAGTTGGACAAAGACAGTACTTCATTTACTCTGCTGCTGTTGCTTCAAACACATACCAAAGACTTGGAGGAGGATGTAGACTAACTTACATCCTACAAAGCATGCCTGGCCAAAAGAAATTAATTCTTGACTATCTTTCATGGTAAGGGAACTGCGTAATTTATAGTTAGAAGCAGAGAAATCTGAGCTATTTCTGTGGGCTGCTTACAACCTGTTAGATGTTGCCATCCATGGGAAGTCTTGTTCTGCATTCACATCAGACACACAAATAGTGGGCCATATGTGAAGGCCAACGTGTCAGCTCCATGAGCAGTTGGACTGACTCGACAAAGCAGAACTCATACTCCTAGCTCACTGAATGCTTTGCATATGAACACTCTAGAATATGTTTGCCTTGGAGGTGGCTGGAAGCTGTGGCCATCAATCCAAGTGACATGTGGTCTGTGCTGGAAGCAGCGGCACATGGCCAGGGAACAGCACACAACTGACGGTCCCACCAAAACCATCGTGGCAGAGACCCTGCCTACAGCCAGTGCTGGGGTGGGACTGGGACATCCTCACACTGTAACAAGCTGAAGGGTGATTTTGTTTCACCAAAACACAAAAGGCAAATGAGCACAGAAGTCAACTGCAAAGCCCTTGGCAGGCTGTGGTGCTCTGAGAAGCGCATCCCTGACCTTTACTCCTCCCCCGAACCCTGGCAGCCTGCAGTACATAAATTTGTGGGACATCTATTATTTAAAAACTGTAAGGACAAGTATATTATACACAGCCCCCGTCTCCTCCTCCCTGAACACACATTCATAACAGTACTTTAATCTGTCTCGAATCGACTTCAAACCCATTTCGCCCTTAATGGGAGTTATTCATTTTCACTTGAAAGGTAATATATGACAGCTGGATATTTAATATGATGGATCGGCTGCCGATTAACAAGGCATTGTAGCATTCTTAGACCAGTCCCCCATACTCTTCCTCTTGTCTCTTCTTCTCTTTGTGAACCCACTGATATCCGCTCCTTGTTTCAGAAGATGCTGCCAGAGTAAGATACAGGCAAACTGCTTGCTTCTCAAACAACCCTCCATCCACTGGCAGAACCTGTATTTCAAAAGGCACCACATCACAGGAAGAACTCCCCATTTCTAACCACCTTCACTGCCAGACCCTAACTCTTAAGTGTTCAGCTAAATAGAGGCAACATAACTTCCAGGAGATGGAAAACAGGTATTGCAAAAGATAACAATACTGCCAGAGGGAGGCAGGGATCAGAGGAGCTTGGTACTACTGACTGTCTCCTGGTAGACTCGGCTTTGCCAAAGCCTGCTTAGACGTGATTTCCTTCCCTGCAGTGTTGCCCTGCCACGTGCCAGCTGTTTCAACCCTGGCTGATTCGGAGCCTCCAAGCACCATGTAAAGTTCTGGCTGTACTTGACTCCAAACCCACAGGAGCCCTCCGTGCTTCCAATTCCACAAAAACGTCCAAACTGAGAGTTTCACTGTGTAGAACAAGTCTGTGGTGTCAGTGCCAGCTTATGGACACCAAGAGAGAATGATAGGCTGCTTCTCCAGTCAACCCACTACTTGAACCCCACACCCTCCCTGGGGTTCAGAACTGGAAAGTCATTAAAGATGACTTTTGGACCAAAGCTGGCCTTCATTGCTTCCTACTAATAAAATGTGGTTGGAGCACAAGAAACTTGGAAGCACTGTGGACCTGCCTGTGCTGCTCCTCTGCTGAGCAAAGCGGTTCCTCCGGGTGGGTTTGAGGAGGCAGAGGCCATGACTGGAGCCAGCACTGTGGCAGGCAGAGGAATACCCTGCCTTAAAACACCCTTAACACACGGAGCCTTGTGTGGTGTGAGTGGTCCCGTAGCTACCGGACACTAGCTGTAACCCCTGGAGTCACAACAGGGCATTTCTTTATTTCCTTTCTACCGGAAAAGAGCCTGCTTATAATTAGGGCAAAGTCAAAGTAATGAAAATTTTCTTTTACTTATCATCTCCAAAGTGCCCAGTTTTATTAAATGCACTTGATCCAACCCGTAACTTTCATCTTTCAAACCCAGAATTATTAATGATTGTCCAAACCCCAGAATAAGAGCTCTGTTGCAGAGTTCTGAAAAACACATGTGGAATATTTGTTCTAAGCATTTTTTTTCATTTGACAGCTCAAGTGGGAATTCTAACACCGAGACCGAAGTTTATCACTGATAAACAGCCACACACAAAGTGACACATTCAGTCCGTGTCACAGATCATAGGAATTCAGAACTCTTCTGCCTGCAGAAAAGAGGGCACACTGCACCGCACCCCCAGCTCCCAGCAGCTGGGTCCTTCATCTTCACCAAGGCGACAGGACAGAATGTCCTTGGCTGATAATGTCAAAGGAGCCTCGGTGCTGACTGGCAGCTCAGCACCAGGGAAGGTGGAGCACAGTGTCTGCACCCTAACCATATCCAGCATCAGGCTTAGAGGCCCAGGCCTTGCAGAAAATAAAAGGGATCAGGGTTTAAAGTATGATGTACAACTATGTACCAGTATTTTTACTGTTTTGACTCTTTAAATGGATTTAGTTCAGATTTGCTGACCTTAGAGAAAAATCTGCATTTCTCAATAAATGTACCCGAAAGCCAAGTGCAATCAGATGGTGCTGCTGCAGGCACACTGCCCTGCCACAGCACTGCTTGGAGAACTGGTTGTCTTCTCACTCTACCTCAGCAGCTTCTGCTTTTCAGAGGAGGAGAAATCTTCCCGGTGTTATTTCAGAGGTGGGATGGGACGGTCCCTCAGAAGTGGGGATCCTTACTTTTGCTAGGTCCAGAGGCAAAACCAGCAAAGGACCCCAAAGCTGCCTGCTCTCCATCCTGGTGGGAAGGGAGTCGTCACCCCACCTCCCAACCATCAGGTTCTTTTAGCTAAAGTACCACTGACAGCCCCTTCATCTAAACTTCCATCTCCCAACCCAGCAACATAATGGAAAAGCCAATTAAATGATTATTAATTCATGCTGCTTTCCGTAAGCCAGAACTTCTCATCTCTCCGCATTCCGTAAACCAGCTTGCCACTTGCCCTAGAAATTTACAGCAGGGTTTCTGCCATCTCCATTGATTTAAGAAACACCACCCTCCCTGCCCCCAGCCTGCTGACAAACTCCTTCCTACCAAGTTCAGCAACCAGCCTGGGAAAAAGTTTCTGTGGGACCAGGGAACTGTGTTTTCAGTGCCTGATGGAAAGCAAAATTCCATATTTGGTGGTGCCTCCCTCCTCAACCTCCCCTGATGTTTTCTTGGAGCGATTACCCAGCACCGCAAGCCCATGGACCAGCCCGACTTGCCTTGCAGAGTGCTGTGGCTGGAAATACCCCGATGGAAGCCGTCCTGCTGCACAGATCTCACGGAGGAGCATCCTCTAAGGGCTGTGGCTCCCCTCCTGAATCCTGGGCCTGAAGTGTCCCGTTTTGTCTGCTTTCAGGCACACACAGCCCTCACCCAGTGTGATGGGCAAGGTCAGAACTCCCCGTGCAGTTCCATCAACAGCAGTTTAGGAGCCCACGACAGGGGCATACAAAGTTCAGTGCCAGCCTCCCTGGCAGACAGTTGTTATCCCACAGAAAGATGCAATTTGTATTAACAGAGCAAGAAGGTGACGCCACCGAGAGACCACAGCGACTGACCGGAGCCCTGCTCAAGCCTTCCTGAAAGGGCACCCAGGCACTGCTGCCCGTTTGTTACCTTGTGTCTTGAAATATATGGTTGAATGTTTCATTCTGAAACATTGTTTACATTCCCTATTCCCTGAAGGTACCATTTGTTCTAATAAAATGTAGCCATACTAACAGGCCTGTATATTGCCTCTTGCTCTACAGTATTGTTTCAGCTCTGTATTTGATAAATAACATGATCACATGGTAGGCAGAAGTAAATACACAGAGATTTGCAAGCACACTTTTGTACCCAGGCCTTTTTCGCCACCTTTCAGAGATGTGGCCCTGAAAACAGTCAAATAATTTGTTTTTCTAATGCTGTGTCATACCTTCAGCCTGCAGTGAGTATGAACAACTGAGTTACAATTAAATATTCGCATTACAAGCCCCAGCCACTACCAGACTTTTCTGCCATGCTATGCACAAACACAGAGCACTTAGAAAACCTCATGGTGAAGGTGCCAGGCAGCACAAGGGGCATGCGGAGGCAGTGCTTGGCTTGTCATCATGAGTACCACAAGTCTTCCCCACAGCCCTGCATATCAGCCCACTTCCTGTCAGATCCTGAAGGAGGCCCTGGGACCTACCAGGAGATGCTGCTCTCACTGCAGTGCTCTAGTGCAGTGCTGCGCTGTAAACCAAGAGACAGGGCACCAGGGGAGAGAAAATGACCCATGCAGGGGGGTTGGAAATGGATGATCTTTAAGGTCCCTTCCAACCCAAACCATTCTATGATTCTATGTATAAAGTTACAGATCAATCCTAAAGGTTCTGAGCATCCCGGCTCTGACCCAGGAGCAGGAGTCAGTGAGGCCCTGCCATGCTGCATGCTGGGACGGGGGGCCCAGGCACTCACAGTTATGTGTGTGGCAGTGGCTCTGGTAGAAGCTGACCTGGCACATAAGTAGCACAGCACCCAAGCAAATACAGCCAAAAAAGCCAAGCCTGAATCAAAGCTGGGAGGTTTCCCTGCCCCAGGAACAACAGCTCCCTCTCTGCTGCTCAGAGACTTGTGCAGGACAGAAGACAGAACATCCCATCTCGTGCCCACCATCACCCTTCCTCTACAAAATGGTACCCTAAAGCACTGCACTTTTTCTTCCAGCAATGGTGTCTAAGATGGTATCTTTAGAACCATAGGAAATACTGGGGTTTTTTAAATTACAAAGTGGCTGGAAGAAAACAAGCAAAAACCTTTATCTTTACCTGTTTTTGGGGGTCTTGAGCCAGTTATCAATCTGTGAAAGTTACTGTTCAGTTCAGCTGAATAAATATGTCAACTAACTTACCAAGATAATAGTGTTATCAGTGTTATCAGCATTATTCTCAGACTAAAGCCAAAGCACAGCACTATACCAGCTACTGGGAAGAACGTTAACCCTATCCCAGCCAAAAGCAAGACACCCCTTCTCCAAGGCCTCCTTCACACAGAAGCCAGGGTCGAGAACTGTTCCATCCCTCATAACCCACTCTCTCCCTGTCTTTACTGTGCTCCACACAATATCCCAGCCATTAAGTGCTCAACAAATGCCATACATTAAAAAAAACAGAAAAAAGCAGTGGTGGGGGAGGGGCAGTAATAGATTTCCGTCAGGATGTGCCTGACCTGTTTTTTTCAATTTCAGTAATTAGAAAGGCAGTAGGCCTGTAGGAATTATTCATAAACTGCAGGAGCTGTGCAGTATACATTTATGTTAAACATGTCAAATCCGATTGAAATCTTGCCTGCCAGCACCATACTCCATAAACACACTTTTCTGCAACAATTTCCCAGCTCTCGGCAGCCCATTAATACCTCCTTTAATAGCAATCTACCACGGATTCGAATCAGGGACGCTCCATTGCACTAATTGCTCTGTTAGGTAAGCATCATGGATTTAAAAAAAAAAAAAAATCATTAAAAAAATAAAAGGCCTTCAGGCTAGTCCTCTAGAAAGATTTCATTTCAATCTATATTTTAAGTAGAGTCTGCTTCTTGTTTTTGTGGAAAAAAAACCCCAACCCTGATATTCTACATCTATACAACTGGCAGTGCATTAAGAAAGTCACTTTCATAGCTGGGTCACTGCAGATGAAGGACTTCCCTCTAGTCAGAAAACACATACAAGCCCCACCCGAAATCTCCAAAGTCTCTTACTGATCTACCCCCCCCCATCTGATTCAGGCTTTAGCTGGAAACCAGGGTGTTGAATATTCATCATTCACATCCTGCCTCAAACATGGAGTCGGGAATAGCCATGATTTCTTTCTTCCTTGCGTTTTTCTTGTGATAAATCTCACGTTAGTCACAATGAGCTGATTTCTAAATAGCTCAGCCATAAGGCAAAGAGCATCTCCCTTCTGCATAGAGGGGACAGCTCTGGAGCAGAGAGAGGGAAGCTGGCAGGGCAGAGGCAGCCCCAGTGCACCCATCAGCACTTGGGAGCTGCTTAGTGCCGCTGCTGGAGAGAGAGGAAAAAGAGAAAGCAGGTCCTGTCTAGGAACAGGGATCACAACTCTTTCCTCTCCATGCAGTTATTTAGGAGTCACAGAGGAATGCTGGTGCCTGGAAGCACAGCTGGCTGTGGGAAGGT